CATGTCAGGGGGCACCTGTGGTGACCCGAGCACTCTGCCAGTGAAAATGGTTTCCCGAGCTCCGTTTTCAGCTGCATGGGGCTCCTGCAATCCTCTGCCAGCGAAAATGGAGCTTGGGAGGGCCCTCCGGAGCTCTGTTTTCGCTGGCAGAGACCCCGCAGGCCAGTCCTTTGCTCTTTCCAGGGTGGCTCCATGGGCCAGAACTAAGCACCCCACGGGCCGGATTTGGCCCGCAGGCCTTGAGTTTGACACCCCTGATATAAAAGTCTCCCTTGTCTAGTCGTGTCCGACTCTCTAGGGCTGGGGTCTTCAAACTTGACAGCTTGAACACTTGTGGACTTCAACCCCCCCGAATTCCTCCTTGGTAGCTCAGGAATTCTGGGAGTTGAAGTCCACCAGTCTTAAACTTGCCAAGTTTGAAGACTCTTGCTCTAGCGCACAATGCTCATCTCCGCTTCTTAGCCGAGAGAGAGCCAGTGTTGTCCGTGGACATTTCCGTGGCCATATGGCCAGCATGACTTTACATCAAGGCTCATGATCACCAGCCCAGAAAAAAAAAACCAGAAAGTCCAGTGGCCTCCTGAAAAATGCATCTTTGCGACAACCACAACCTGGATGGCTGAGAATCTCTTCAGACCTTTAGCTTTACAATTTGGGATGAACGCCCTTGGAATGGTGTGCGAGTAGGAATGGATTTTCAGTGGAAAAAATTGCAGACTACAGGAACCAGGAGCACTACTCAGGTGACTCTGAGGACACAGATAAACCTCCAAGTGGCCTCAGTGACCCTTTAAAAGGATGCAAATGACCAGCTGTCTGCAAGGAATATAAATCCTTCCATCCCATACCATTCAGTCAGAGCTGAAGAAGCTTCTTGGATGAGAAGTGAAATGTCTTCAAAAGAAAAACTAAGAAAGTCCAGTTGCCTCCTGAAAAAGCAACTTTGGGATTTTTTTCAGTTGTTATTCAAGGGAAAAACAAAGAAAGTCCACTTGCCCTTTCAGAAGCACCTTTGGGATTAACTCTGCTAGTGGCAAACTGGTTTCAAGCCGGTTGGGAAGCATACAAATGTTGATCAGGTGACTGCTGATGCAGCAACCATTGTAAATGCGAGGATTGTTTGCCAAGCTATCCCTTTACACCACCGCCATAACTTTGAACGGTCACAAAACAAGGCCGTCCGTTAAGTGAGGACCCCCCCTGTAATTTTCTTACCTTTGGGGCAGGATTTGCAACATTGTCCTGGAAGCACAATAGCATCGGCACAAGGAAGTTTGGGGCAACTATGCTTAATGTTCTTACAGGTGACTTTGCCGGCAGGTTTCCCTCTCCGGTTTCTCTGCTGTAGGGAGGAAAAAGGAAATAGAAAATCTTTACAATGGATCATCTTCTGGTTTTGGAGAGACAAATCCTAGCACTTTGGTGTTTTATTAGGGATGATGCAGAATCTTCCCATCCAGGCAAAATCCTCCTGTCGTTTTTGCATTGAATGCTACAATTACTTATCATCAATATTTTGCCTGATTTAGGAATGTGGCATCAACTTTTTGGCAGCCAAATGGATCCAAATTATATAATACACACTGGTCTTCCAAATTCTATTCCTTCCAAGTGTGGAAAGAAGCAATTTTGAATTATTCTTGATATGCAAAGGAGAGGCCACAGATAATCCTGAAGCATAACCATTAATTCAGTGTCTGTTTGACGTTACCACAGCACTGAAAAAAGTGACTTATGACCACTTTTCATACTACCTGTATGTGAGTCTTGCTGTTAGCATCAATCCTTAAGGGATTGGTAAGATTCTATCTATGTCTATATCTATCTATCTATCTATCTATCTATCTATCTATCTATCTATCTATCTATCTATCTATCTATCTACCTACCTACCTACCTACCTACCTACCTGTATTTGTATTTGTATTTGTATTTATATATTTATATTTATATATTTGCAAAATACCACTCATGCATCATCACAAAATCTCCAGAACCATAAAGCGTACAAACTTGAAATTTGGCACGTATGTTCCTCTTGGCTTCTAGGTGTGCACTAAGACAGGATTTTTCCAAATGACCATCAGAGCATTAGGATTATTATTAAGTGAAAACTTAAGAATATATATATTTGGTTCGGGTATTTTCCCACGTCATTGTAGTTGTGCTTTTAAAGTTGTAGCAACGTTTCGGCAGAATCTCATCTGCCATCATCAGGGGGCCTCTGAGTCAGGGGGCCAACAAATGTGGGGGCCTGACTCACAGACGGACACAATACAGAAGCCTGATGATGGCAGATGAGATTCTGTCGAAACGTTGCTACAACTTTAAAAGCACAACTACAATGACGTGGGAAAATACCCAAACAAAGCTGAATACCATACATACATACATACCTACATACAAATATGAACAAGCACTGAATGTAAATCACATGATCATACTGCAACAGTCATAAGTGTGTGAAAAATGGTCCTCAGTCACTTTTTTCAATGCTGTTGCTAACTTCTAACAGTCACTAAATGAGCTATTGTAAGTCAAGGACTAGCTGTGTCAGGATCCCTCATTCCAAAAACCTGGGAAATCTGGCCAATTCAACCACACCTGCCTTATAACCTGGATCTTCCATTACACTTACTGGTTCGCAGGTGCACATCACGCAGTGCATAATGCCAAAGGGTTCCCCTAAATCAGGATGCCAGGTGTCCTCCAAGGTGTAGAACCGGCCACCGAAATAGCATCCTGCAAAGGAAAAGAGGTTTGAGTGCTCCAGAAAAATGTGCATTGAACCAGCTGCCAAGCCTACTAAATCAACGTTTCTCAGACGTGGCCACTTTTAAGACACATGGATTTCAGTTCCCAGAATTCCGGGAGTTGAAGTCCGTGTGTCTTAAAAGTGGCCATGTCTGAGAAACCACTGTACCAGTGGTGGATTAAAAAATTTACTCCTGCACCTACCCCCCACTAGGCCAGCAAAAATGTTTAACCTAAGCCCAAACTATTGGAAGTGTAAGAAAGAAAAAGGCACTTATTTTCATATGTAGTGGACCTGCCCAGAAGTGAAGAACTACTGGAACATAATTCAACAATGGCTAGAAGAAATTATAAAACAGAAAATTGAATCCAAACCAGAACTATTTTTATTAGGCATAACAACACAAAAATGTAACAAAAAAGATAGATATATTATGTTACATATCTTAACAGCTGCAAGGATCTTTTACACACAGTTTTGGAAGCAGGAAAGAGTACCACCAGAGGATGTTGTTATGAAAAAAATATTAAGACTGTATAGAGATGGACAGGCTAACGTTGAAATTAAAAGATAAGGAAGATTCGACATATTACACAGTCTGGGATGCCTGGTATGAATGGTTTAAGAATAAAAAGAAATTAAAATGGCAGTTAGGTAAAGAATGAGAAATCATATAAATAAGTATATGTATTATGGAGAAAATCAAAGCCTATGATGAAATATATTGATTTGTAACAAGAGTAAGGAAAGAATTATGCAATGGCAATGGAATAAGAAATTATATATAGAGAAAAAATGTAAGGAAATGTAAAAGATGCCTTGATGTTGATATAAGGATGTATAAAGTTGTATTTTATGTTTTTAATCTTTGAAAATTGAATAAAATTTATTTATTTATTTTACTACCGGTTCTGTGGGTGTGGCTTGGTGGAAAGGAAGGAAGGGAAAGGAAAGGAAAGGAAAAAGGCGGGAAGGAAGGAAAAGGAAAGGAAGAAGAGAGGAAGGAAAGAAGGAAGGAGGGTGGATGGGTGGAAGGAAAGAAGGAGAGAGGGAAGGAAGGGATGGAGGGAAGAAAGGAAGGAAAGAAAGAAAGAGGGGAGAGAGGGAAGCAGTGGTAGGATTCAAAAAAGATTACTACCAGTTCTGGGGCGTGGCTTGGTGGGTGTGGCTTGATGGGCATGGCAGGGGAAGGATACTGTAAAATCTCCATTCCCTCTCCACCCCACTAACCTGCTTTCCAGCTCCATTCTCCTGGGCAGGGCAACCAAAGAAGACCCAGCCAATTAGCTGGGACTCAATGGGAGGCAGAGAAGAGATGGGGGCGGGGCCAGTCAGAGGTGGCATTTGCCAGTTCCCCAAAACTACTCATAATTTCTGCTACTGGTTCTCCAGAACTGGTCGGAACCTGCTGAATACCACCTCTGCACTGTACTTAAAATCGAGCAAGTGAATCAACCCATTCTCTAGGTTGGCATCCTATGTGGGATGCTGAATTCACCCAACTAGGTTTGCCAAAAAAAAATGTAAGCCACACACTTATGCACAAAATGAGTCTTTCGCACAAGACTCGGTTTTCGTCTAGCCCAGGAGTCTCCAAACTTGGCAACTTTATGACTTGTGGACTTCAACTCCCAGAATCCCTCTGCCATGGCTGACTTGAGGAATTCTGGGAGTTGAAGTTCACAAGTCTTAAAGTTGCCAAGTTTGGAGATCCCCTGATTTACATGACTGCAGAGAAGACTTCCTCTTCTTCACTTGGGACCCCTTCAGGTATTTTGGGGTAAATAAAATACGGGAGCTGGTATCTACCTTTTCGGGAAGACAATAGTTGGGACAGAATGCTAAACAGTTTTCTTAGTCTGAACTATTATTTCTCCTCCTGGGCCAAGACTTCAACTTCCAGAATTCCTGGCTGGGGAATTCTAGGAGTTGAAGTTCACCTATCTTAATGTTGCTAAAGGTTGAGGAACTCTTTTTCTAAAGCAGGAGTCTCCAATCTTGATAACTTTTTAAGACTTGTGGACTTCAACTCGCAGAATTCCTCAGCCATGTCTTGATTGAGCAATTCTGGGAGTTGAAGTCCACAAGTCTTAAAGTTGTCAAGTTTGGAGACCTCGGCCTTACACCATCCCATCCTACCCCATCCCATTCCAACCGTCGAAAACTGGAGAGGAAACAACTTGATTGATAGGTAGGTAGGTAGGTAGGTAGGTAGGTAGGTAGATAGATAGATAGATAGATAGATAGATAGATAGATAGATAGATAGA